CATACTCGAATGAGCCCCTTGGAGCTAATTCTATGCATAAAGAGATTGGGGAACAAAAAACTCATTTTGATGCGTTTAAGACAATGCTTGAAGAAGCGCACAACGTTGAAGATCAGGTCACCACAAAACTTGGCCTTCTCTGCGTATGTTTGCAAAATACGGAAGTGGTAAAAGTTTTCAAACTGGAACTTATGTTAGGAAAACTTCAAGAGGTTATTTCAAATTTATCCAAAATTGAGCTATTGGACGATTGCCAAAAGATCTCTTCAACTTTTGAAGAGTTGATTGGAGAGCTTGAGCTAAGAATTTGTCGAGAACAAGAAGCTATCCAACGATCACAATGCCTTCTCGATGCAAATGAGTCATTGAATCGCGAAATCTTATCGCTAAAGTTATTGGTGGACCAAGGGGAACTCGGGAAGAATAAACTTACTGAGCAACTAGGAGATATTACTCACAAATTGGACTCAACTAGAAAGATCACAGTTGAACTTCATGAAATCATTGAAACAAATAAAGCAAATATTCTGGAGTCGGATGAAGCAATTCGATCATTGAAGGAGGAAATTAGTACACAATGCAGCGAAAAGGTTTCTTTAAAGGCTTCGCTTGATACATTGCTTGACAGGCGGAATCAAACCATCGAACAATTGGAAGCACTCTGCTCTTCTATAAATAACAATGAAATCTTAACCGAAGTTCATCTAACCTCGCTCTTAACTAACATTCATGATGCATTTACAAAATGTTCTGGTCCTGAGCTATTTGGTGATTGCGACGCGATCTCCGCCTTGTTTCGCCGCTTAACTGTAGCACTTGAATCCAAATTTGATCAGCACAATGAAATTGAACAAGAAAAAGTGCTTCTTTCAGGCCAGAATAATGAGTTAAATAAGAAGCTAGGCCTAATGGATTCTGAATACAGTAAGAGTGTATTGCAAAACACTCAACTAGAGGAAAAAAATGCACAGTTAACTCTTGCTATTGAGGCTAGTAATGAGGTTCAAGAACAGCTTAGATCAATTGATGAACGTTTAACTAATGCCAATCAGTTAAATGAATCTTTAAGGGAAGACGTCTTATCTAAAGAGATAGAGATTGCTTCATTGATGGTATCACTTGAATGCATCAGTAAGGAGAAAGATAAGGCCAATGAAAGAGAAACTCGACTTTCTTCCCTAATGGTTAGCCTACAGAAAGCCCTTACACAATTTTCGGATGTCAAGCTTGCTGATGACTTCTCTCAACTCTCCTCTTCTTTTCACCTCTTCATTAAAGAATTTGAGTCAAAGTCCTCTCTCTTGAACGATTTGACACAAGAAATCAATTGTCTTCGCGAGTCGACAAACTTGCAGCACAAAGAGTTGGTACAGTTGAGAGAAAAAGATAATGAATTAGAGTCTGTTAGTAAAGAACTATTGGATCTTCAAGAAATCCTATCTAAACAAAAGGAACGCTCAGCTTCTATGGAGAAAGAACTTAATACCTTAAGAGCCTCATCGGACGAAATAACTAAGGTAAAAGCTCAAGCTTTAGAAAGTGTCCATATTCTTGAATCCGGATTAGAACAGAAAGAACGTTTAAATGATGCTAAAATGTCCCAATTAATAAATCAACTAAAAGGTTCCCTATATGAATTATCTCAACTTCGGATATCAGCCGACCTCGACACTATCTCTTCTGCCTTTATCTATTTATCTGGAGAGTTGGAGGCAAAGCTTCGCCGTGAAGACGAAATTGCTGCAGAGCACATCGACTTCGTGCAGATGGACCAAGACGTTCACAGTGTACCCGATTCTGCGAAAATAGAACTAGATGGGCTAAACTCTGATGTAAGCCGTAATTTTGAGCAACTGGATGAAAAATCTCAAGACTTGGAGGCAGCAAACGCTGCTGCCGGGCTTCTTCCGGTGAAGCTTGATTCCAATTCATTGACAATGAAAGAGGCTTGTGAACTCCATATGGAAAATTTGTGTTTGCGGAATGAATTAATTGCTCTGCAGGCTTCCCATGAACAGCTCGGATTGCAGCGAAACCAAGCACTGGCAACACTGATTAATCATGAGGCCCATGGCGAAGCCCGCGATTGCCTGACGGATTCTCGCCTATCGAATCTTTGCAATCAATT